AACGCCCTCGAACACAACCTGCGCAACACTCCAGGTGCAAGCAGGCCACGCCCCCGCCCCCGCCTTCCTGGAGGTGTTAAGGGGGTGTTAGCTCTTGTTCTTTCTACCGCATTTAGATTCTTCATCAGCTACAGTTACGTTCAACGCCCGCATCTACCGTGTTATATGTGGCATGGTCCCGCCCCGCATCGCACACGCCTCTCCCCCTGCCCCTGCGTCTGCCCCTTGCCTGCCCCATGGTGTTTGCCTTTACAGTTGGTTGAGTCGCGGTTTATGCAACAAGCGGCTGTGTGGCAAAAACCTAGGCAAACAAAACGCAATAAGAGCTTTTCGAGCTTCGTTTTGTTTGCCAAAACTGCGTCACGTTGCAACTTTGACGTTTCGAGTGCCAGCTGCAGCGACTGCGGCTGAGATTTGCGTAAGCGAATTCGTTTTATTGTGCAACTCAACAATAAACATGCAAATTGATGTCAAAGCGTTAGCTGCGAGGGGGGGGGGGGGGACATCGGGCAAAGCGGCGCACGTGGCAAGATGAGGGGTCCGTTTGTGTGTGTGTGTGCGTAACTTGTTGCACGCTGTGGCAGTTGCCACAGCGCCATGTGGCAACGCCACGTGAACAAAACAAAGTCCTTGCCATTGGCGCATAACATGGCCCTGGACTCAGCTCAGCTCGACTCGGCTCGCAGAGTTAAGCAGCCTTCAGCCTTCGTTGACGCAATTCCAACGATTGTCCGACATTTGACCTTGGCTGCATATTCTGTTGCTGTTCAAACAGAAAAAAGAGTTGTTGCAAGGGTCTTTTACAGGCGTGGGAAGACAGCTACGAAGACATTAAGTCTGTATATATATATATATATATATACATATATATATCTATAAATATGTATCTATCGGCAAGCGAGCTGAATCGATATATGCCAGACTGTCTGTAAAAAGACGCTATTTTAGGGCATTACATATTGTAATGTAGTTTAAATTTACATTTTCGATAACTTTTCAATCGATAAATATCGAGTTTTAAGCCTAATTTTTAACACGTCACAAATATTACCAGAACTAGACACCTTAAATATGTTGCTATGATAGTTCTTATAAACGAAAGATCGGTAAAACTTATTTTACCTTATTGTTAACTTTAGCTGACCGATAAAATTGATTATAAATTACCTCCAGGACGAACTATTTGAGGGTAGAAATGTACAACCCAAGAATAATACATGCTAAATGCAATTTAAATATATATTCTCGAATTATATTAATAACAGACAAAGTTTATTGTTGATTTTTAAGAACTGGAGAACATAGTTTCACGAAACGATAAATATCGAAAATTTCTTTTAAATTTGAGTGCATTTTTCTCTCTCACTGAGTGAATCCTACTCAATGCTGTATTGAGGCTCGCATCAAGATATAGCTTGTACAGATCTGGTTTTTTAACTATATTAAAGCTTAAAACGTTCTTCATTAGAGGAATACCCCTCGCTTTTGGTATATGTAGTGCCATCTTTAGGTTCTGTTTAGGGAGCAACATTCGAAGAGTAAACTCAAAATATGTTTAATTATTATTATTGAGACCATTTCAAACCCTGCTGCAGGGTATCTACTAGTCCAGTCAACTTATCTTTAGCCTTTCCCCTGTTTACCTTTCGATTTCAATTTGATTTTTCTCGTATTGCTCACCTATTCCTCATCGGCTTTTTGCATAATTTATTGCATTTAGTTTTCACTCGCTGCTCTGTCATAAATTTCTACTCACAGGCAAATGTTCGTCCCCCGGCACCCCGCGCTCTGCACCTCCCGCACCCCTCCAATGGGAGGTGGCAGCGCAGGACATTGCCGCGTCGCGTGTGTCCTTAAATTTAGTTTTGATTACGAGTGGCAGCCACACTTTGTGCCCGGCTCTTGCACAGGCCGCTGGCCAAGTTTGCAGCCCGCTCCCCCAACCGTCCCCCCCGGCGCCACCCAAACGACCTTCAGCAGCGTTTGCCATACAATTTTCCGTTTTTTCCGAGCGCGCGTGTCTCTGGTCGCCTCTTTTTATGTATACAGTTTTTTTTTTTATTTGTTCCGTGTTTCTTGTCCTGTGCGCTATTTTTATGTCTTTCGCATTTGTATCGAATGTCCTCTGACGCAAATTAATTAAATTATGTAATGGCTGTTGACGTGGCGTGGGAAGGGGGCAGGGAAGGGAGGGGGAGTCGTGAGCAGCAGCAGGTGCTGGCTGTGGGTGGTCAGTTCTACTTAACCGGTTCTAAATTTAGGCGCAACTAACAAAAGTTAACGACGACAATTATGAAGAAAAAGTGATGCCAAGAAAAAGGCGCCCATCCCCCATCTCTGGGGCTATTCTGGAGCAGAGTGTGGGCAACTAATTAGCGGGTATATTCCAATTAATTGTGGTATATTGACTGAACTATGACCTATAATATGTTTTGACGTCCTCCTCCTTTCCCAATCAATTGTGCAGAGGTCGCTCCATAATTAGAACTTCCGGAAATTCGAATGGTTCGGAAATAGAATTCAGCATTTTTAAGGCATGCGAAGTCTTTTATCTCTTAGATGTTGTTTAAACATAAATTATCGACTTGCAATAAATAAAGCAATAAAAACAAGGCATATAAGTATTATAAATGTGTGTGTGTGTGGGCGTGTGTGTGTTAGGGCATGCGTGTTTTCTAGAGCAAAACGCAGACCAAGCTTATTCCTCGCTGTGCTGCAAATTTAAATATAACGAATTTCTACTAAGTGCTCTTCTCCTCGATTCTCAAGAATTCAAGTAGGCTCTGCAGTTTTTCATGCTTAGCCAGTATAGGGTTTTTGTTGTTGTTTATTTGTATGCATTTATGTATGAACATATGTATGTATATATGTATGTATGTATGTACATATGTATGTATGTATATGTGTATATGCACACAAACATTATATGTGTGCATGCATATAATAATAGTGTATATATGTGCATGTATGTATGTATCCTATCCCCAAACTGTGATCTTTTCATAGCACTTATCCAGCTATTCCGAGTTCCTCATACTCCTATGTTAAAGTACTCACAAAAACCGAAACTTTAGTCCATATTTCTGCTTCAGGTTCAATCAGAGTTGGCTGAGCCTCATCTACTCTGTTTACTTTGTGCTTGCCGCTTCAAAACCTCCATGAATATACCCAAGTATGCCTAGATTTAGCAATTCAGTCGTCTCATAACGGGTTTTCTTACACTAAACAAAGTTAGCGCATTCTCAACATTCTCAAATATATATATGTATATATATAGCGTTCGTACCTGTATAAAAACATGATGACTCTCGGATATCTACAACAATGGTCCATCATCTGCGTCGGTAAATATTAAGTGTATATATATGTATATAGATATATTTATATATATGTATATGTCAGCTTCCTTATTGCAAATGCATTGTGTGTTGTTTTTGTTGTTGCTATTGATATTAATATTGTAAATGTGCCTGTTCACGTGTTATTCGCTTCATTATACCCATTCACAAAGTGAAAGAGGGTAGATTGGCTTTGTGCTATGTCCATTTGTTTATAAACGCTTCGTTCTCGAGAACTACAAAAGCTATAGGCTTGCAATTGGGTATATGTAGTCATGTATATATACATCAGATATGGGGTTGAATTTATTTGGCCACGCCCACTAGGAAGCGGTAATATCGTGAGTAATATAGTCACAACATTTTATAGCTTGGGAACAGATGAACTGCTCTAAAGATAGATCCACTGAGAGCGTGATGAATTGAATAGATCTCTTGCATGTTCAGATTTTGAGCTGGAAGAATGAAATTTCCGTCTATCTATCCGTCTCTGTCAACGAGTTGATCTCGGCAACTACAAAAGCCATAGATTTGGGAATAAGAAATGTATATTATACTCTACCATACACAAAACGAGTTGTACTTGTTTTTATAATCCCATTTTCATAATAATTGTAGTAATTGAATTCGAGACTTGGTTTTTTGGGCATAACTCGAGGACTATTAGAGCTAAAGACAACAAACTTGGTATGCACGGGTTTCTAAAGTATTTACACCTAAAAATATATTAATTTTCGATTAACTCACCATATTACCCGAGTTTGAACAGTAGAGTATGAGAAATCTTTTCGAAAAATCGATCAGAAAAAATGAAAAAAAAAATGATAATCTCTTAATTAAACGAAACGCCCCTCTTAAGCTGTTATCGGGCGCGTATTACGCCGTCGTTTGCACCCGCTGGCAATACTCGGAACTTGTTTTAATTATAATTATTGTGACTTGTCAGCCATTTGCGACTGTTTTGAATTGGCCAAAATGCGCGTTGCGATTTTTGGTTGTTGTTGTCATCGCTTTCTTTGTCAGGGGCGTTGACAAGACGCCGCTGAAACATATATGTGCATATATATAGGTATGTATATATATGCGTCTATATCTAGATCTGGTGCATCAGCGACATTCGCCGATTCCGCGCGCTGCTTTCTGTCGCATTGTAAAATTGCCTGAGCTGTTGCACGGTTGCACAGCCTTAGGAGAATTTGTAACTAGTCAAAAAATTTGCCACAAAATGTTAGCCTCAGTTATTAGGCGTTTCCTAAGAAGAGGTGGCTAGTAAAAATAAAAAATAAATAAAGAAATCAAAGTGTATAAATAAAAAGGAATTAGATGAAGAAGGAAAAATAGACATAAATACAAAAACATATAAAATAAATAAAACATTTTAAAAATAAAAATATTGAATAAAAAAAAATGTTGAATTAAAAAAAATAAATTAAAAAAAATATATATATAAAATTAATAAAAATTTTTAAAATAATGAATAACATGAATAAAATATTGAATTAGAAAATAAATAAAGTAAAAGATAAATAAAAATAAATATATAAATAAATAAAAATAAATATATAAATAAATAAAATAGTTAAATATATAAATAAAATAGTTAAATATATAAATATACTAATCTTAACTAACGTCTTTCTCTTCTTATTGTTGCCTTTACAGATTGCGATTGCGGCTGCGTGGACTCGTACAACGGCGGCAGCGTTGAGTTGCGGCACGGCCAGGTACAGGCAGCGGCAGCAGTGGCAGCAGCAGCAGCGGCAGCCTCCGCTCAGAGCTTTGTGATTAGCAGCAGCAGCAGCCACAACAGCAACAGCATCAGCCTCAAGACGGCGCACGCAAAGGTTGCCACATCCGGGGGGCATGCCAATACGCAGCCCCCCAGCAAACGTTCCAGCAGCGGCGCCGACGGCGACTATCAGCTGGTGCAGCACGAGGTGCTCTATTCGCTCTCCGCGGAATATGAGGTAAGACCTGAGACCTGAGACCTGAGACGACCCCCCTATAATAAACCAACCCAAACTAATCTCGCTCTCTTTCGCTTACTCCTCTGCAGGTCCTGGAGTTTCTGGGCCGCGGCACCTTTGGTCAGGTGGTCAAGTGCTGGAAACGCGGCACCTCCGAAATTGTTGCCATTAAGATTTTGAAAAATCATCCCTCCTATGCGCGTCAGGGTCAGATTGAGGTATCGATACTCTCACGACTGAGTCAGGAGAATGCGGATGAGTTCAATTTTGTGCGCGCTTTCGAGTGCTTTCAGCACAAGAATCACACCTGCCTGGTCTTTGAGATGCTCGAGCAGAATCTCTATGATTTTCTCAAGCAAAATAAATTCTCACCGCTGCCGCTCAAGTACATACGTCCCATACTGGAGCAGGTGAGTCCCGGTGGAAAACGGAGTAAAAATGAAAAATAATTCTCTAATAATTCCGACTCTCTCTTTCAGGTGCTGACTGCCCTGTTGAAGCTGAAGCAACTGGGCCTGATTCACGCCGATTTGAAGCCGGAGAACATAATGCTTGTGGATCCGGTGCGTCAGCCGTATCGCGTTAAGGTCATCGATTTTGGCAGCGCCTCGCATGTGAGCAAAACCGTTTGCAATACGTATCTGCAATCGCGCTATTATCGCGCACCCGAGATCATTTTGGGTTTGCCATTTTGCGAGGCCATCGATATGTGGTCGCTGGGCTGTGTTGTGGCCGAGCTCTTTCTGGGCTGGCCCCTGTATCCGGGCAGCTCCGAGTTCGATCAGATACGCTATATATCACAGACACAGGGTCTGCCCACGGAGCATATGCTGAATAGCGCCTCGAAGACATCGAAATTCTTTTATCGTGACGTCGACTCGACCTATCCATTTTGGCGCCTCAAGACCACCGAGGAGCATGAGGCGGAGACGAACACCAAGAGCAAGGAGGCACGCAAATATATCTTCAATTGTCTGGATGATATTGGGCAGGTGAATGTGCCCACCGATTTGGAGGGCGGCCAATTGTTGGCCGAGAAAACGGATCGTCGGGAATTTATCGATCTACTGAAGCGCATGCTGACCATAGATCAGGAGCGACGCCTGACACCAACCGAGGCACTGAATCACAGCTTCACGAGGCTCACGCATCTGGTCGACTATGTCTATTGCAACAATGTGAAGGCCTCTGTCCAAATGATGGAGGTTTGTCGTCGCGGCGATTTCCATACGTGAGTATATTACAGCTTTAAAGGGTTTATCTATTCTAATACTCTGTATATTTTACATAGCGTACAACCGGCTCCCACGCTGGTCACCAATTTCGTGCCCAGCAGCACCGAGAACATGACCTTTACCATCAACAATCAGCTGACCAGTCAGGTGCAGCGCCTCGTGCGCGACGGCCGTCCCTTGGCCTACGAGGGTCTCTATCAAATCTACGGCGGACGCAATGTGGCACGCCAGTATCCACAGGCGCGCACCGACACGTTCCAGCATCAGTTGGTATCCAACATACTCTGTCCGCCCTCATATCAGGCCATGCCCAGTCCCACCAAGCATGTGGTGGCCACAATGCAGCCGCCGTTGCAGGTGCCGCCACAGCAATATGTCAATGTGCCGGTGCCCGTGTCCATGGTGGAGCCCAGCTCGGGTCAGCGTATGCTGCTCACTAATCGAGTCCAGGCCAGTGGCGTTGCCTGGCCGCAAACTGGACGCCAGATGGCCTTGGTGCCGTCCTGGCCGCAACAGGCGCCGGCGCATTCGCTAATCGTTGACTCGACGCCGCTGTTCAATGTGGAGGAGATCTATCCCAAGCATCATCTCAACTTGCCGCGCAACGATCTCAAGAAGGAGTCGCCGGCTCATCATCTAGCGTGCGTATCAGAGTTGTTTATTTAAAGTAGCTCAATCAAATTCTAATCCTCTTCTTTCCTCTGACAGCAAGGGCAACTCTTATCGCGTGCCGCGCCACGAGAAGAAGGAACACCAGCAGCTGTCGCCCGTCAAGAAGCGTGTCAAGGAGAGCTCGCCGCCGCATCAGCAGCGCTATCAGCGTGCCGCCCATGTCTCGCCGCAGTACCACGCCCATCATAATTGCAACTATGGAGGCGGCTATGGAGCTGGCGCCGCTGGAGCTGTTCTGGCCAGCTCTGCCTCATCGGCCAGCAGTGAGTGTCTGCTTACAGCGCGTTATATCCTTGCAGCGGCTGTTATATTTATGTAACACGATGTGGGACGTTTTAGACCAGACATCGGGGGGATGTATTATGCATAGATATGTTTGATCAGCATGAGGAGATGAGTCGATGTAGTCAAGTCTGTTTGTTGCTCTGTTCAATTACTGTCAGGGAGCTGACGAGCTGTTTATGTAAAACTTGGTCCTATATACAGCTCCTTAATATATAGCTCCTATAGATACAAACTATTTAGCAGATAGCTTTGCTGAACTCATTAATTATGAGCTTCTTGTTGTTTGCAAGACTGATGTATGCACCAAATTAGGCTCTCCGCTTTGATAGATCAGTTTATATTGTAAATATTATAATATTACGGCCTGCAAGGATATTTACTTAATTTAGTTTCTTTACTTTTTATTAAACTAATATATTAACTACCTTTCTTTTCTAGATATTGTCAACGCCAGCTCGTCGAGCTCGCATCATCACGCGCCCGTGGCTCATGCACCGCACGGCAGCAGCAGCAGCAACAGCGCCTACAACACCGCCGGCCATCACATTGTGATTAACAATTGTAGTGGGGGCGGCGGCGGCGGCTCCGCTGTGGCCTATCATGCCAGCGGTGGCATCAGCAGCAGCAGCCAGCCGCCATTGCATGCGCATCAGCCGCAGCACGTGAAGCAGCCGACAATTACCATACATGACACGCCCTCGCCGACAGCCGTTGTGGGCGATGTGATCACAATTTCGGACAGCGAGGACGAGGGCGCCGATCTACCCCCAAACAGCGCCACAGTCGCGCCCATTAAGCAGCGCGCGCACGCCCAGTCGCAGACCAGCAGCAGCCTAATGCAGCAGCAGCAGCAGCAACACCAACATCAGCAGCAGCAACATCAACAACAGCAGCAGCAACAGCAGCAGCAGCAGCACTCGTCGAGCAGCAATCTGCATTGCCGCAGCAGCGGACAGCCGTTGCACGTGCAACATCAGGCAGTTAATTATGGTAATACACACAGTTCCAACAACAACAACAGCTCCGCGAATGCCACCAGCAGCGGCAGCAGCAGCAGTCAACGTTTGGTCAGCAAATGTAACAGCCAGCTGGGCGGCAGTAGCGGAGCTAGTCATCATAGCCATCATAGTCACCATAGTCACCACAACAACAACAACCATCAACAACAACACCAACAGCAGCAACATCATGGCGGCAGCAACGGCAACGGCAATAGTAGCTCTAGCAGTAGCAGTAACATTAACAGTAACAGTAACAGTAACAGTAGCAGTAACAGTCAGCAGTTGCCGCCGCCGCCGCCGCCCCATCATAGTAGCAGTAGCAGTAGCAGTAACAGTAGCAATAATCATCATCATCATCATCAACAACAACATCATGCAGCCTCGCTGGGCGGAAGCGGAAGTGGAAATGGAAATGGAAATGGCTTTGGTGCTGCTGTCCTCCCAGACAACAACTGCGCGCTGCAGGCAACACAGCAGCAACAGCAGCAGCAGCAGCAACAACAACAGCAGCAACTACAGCAGCAGCAGCAACAGTTGCAGCAGCAGCAGCAATCGACTTGCTTTCAGCCTAGCTCCCACAACAACAACAACAGTCATCACAACACCACTTCCAATTCTGCTTCCACTTCCAACCAACAACAACCACAACCACCACCATTATCACAACCCACCCACCACCATAACCATCATAGTCTACAGCTAAATCCCGCACCCATATCCATAAACAGCACACAATTTGGCACCAGCTCCTCCTCCTCCGCCTCCATATCCACATCCACCTCCGGCCTTTGCCTTAATCCGCATAATGTACCGTTACCCATACCCGTTCCTTTAGCTGTGCCCGCCTCCGTTTCCTCCGCCCTTGCCACGACCACGTCTCAGTCGCATCTCAGTCGTCATAAGTCAACGCAACAACAGCACGTCCATCTAGTAATTCCATGCGTTACCGTAGGTGATCACGATCCGGAGGATGCGCGACGACGTCATCATGCCGCCGCAGCCGCTGCCCTAGCCGTGCCCAGTCCCAAGCATCATCATCACCAGCAGCAGCAGCCGCAGCAGCAGCAGCAACAACATCATCATCACCAGCAGCAGCAGGTGCAGGTGCAGGTGCAGCCGGCACAGCAGACGCCGCACTATCAGCCACAGCCGCCGCCGCCGCAAGCCCAACCGCAGCTCCAGCAGCAGCCGCAGCAGCAGCCCAGCATTAAATACGAGCCGGGGCAATCGCAGAAGAAACGCATTCTGGCCATGGCTCAAAGCGAGTGCAACTATCAGCCGCAGCCGCAGGTGCAGATACAGGTGCAGCAGCAACAACAACAACAACAACAACAGCAGCAGCCACAGCCCGTTGCCAGTCTGCCGCATATTCCAACCAAACAGGAGCCGCCCGAATTCTATTCGGACTACGCGCCACAGCAGCAGCAACAGCCGCCGCAGCAACAGCTGCAACTGGAGACCAAGCGCAGCTCCTGGGCAGCCGGCTCCAGCGGCGCGGCCATGCCCCTGGCACATCCGAAGCGCGAGGCGCCCTCCGTTGCGCCCGTCAGCTATGTGACGCCCACTGTGGCGCCGCCGTTGGCCCACTCGAAGAGCAACTCGAGCAGCTCGTCGATAAGCGCCGCGGCTGCTGCAGCGGCTGCAGCTGCTGCCGCTGCCGCCAGTGTGGGTCCGCCGTCGTGGGGCCCACCGCAGGTCTATCGCCAGCCATCGCAGCCGCCACCAACATCGGCTGCTGCTGCCGCTGCTGCCCAGCCGCCAGCTGGACCGCCGCATCATCATCATGGCAGCCACAGTCATCATCATCATCACCAGGCGGGCACGCCGCTGGGCGGCTCACCCTCATCGACGGCCGCTGCGGCCATGCTGCAGACGGACATTTACGCACAGGGCGACATGTATCGACGTCCCACGGTCTATGTATCCCAGGCCGCGCCCACATACGCCTATGCGAATCGCACGGTGGTTGCGCCACCGCCAGCACACAACAGTTCCAGTCGACAGGTGGGTGCAGAAACCAAAAAATTGCTCATTACATTCAATATGCTTTTTAATTTGTTTGTTAAGTGCCTTTAATTACCTACAAATTTATATTTAATTACAATTTATATTTAGTAAAAATTGAAAGTAATTCAAATGTAATTAATGTAGTTTGTTCAAGGTTGTTCAGGAATTTAAAATGCTTTTAATTTGCCAATCCTTTAACTACAAGTTTTTAAATTTACTCACAAGATTGCACGTAATTGAATTTATATTTAGTTACTAAAGAATAGAAAGTAATTACAATGTATTTAATGTAGTTAGTTCAAGGCTGATTTAGTCTACATTTAATATAGAGCAAATACTAAATTTAATTACTTCCAATTAGATGTAACATTACATTTTAATTACGTAAGTAATTAAAATTTCATGCATAGTATTTAAGTAATAGATATTGGTATTAAAGACTTTAGACTTTTTAGTAAGTACGTGTTGTTACATTATACTGAATGCATATTGGCAACACGCAAAGAAACTTTTTAAATTACTAAATTAATTGAAAGTAATTAAAGATTTGTATTTATATTTCTATAGATCTGACTAAACTTAAGTAAACACACCCTTCTTGAGTATACATTTCTTATCGATAGATTTATTTCTTTAATATTATATTACACTCAATATAAACCTTAGATTATTTATTAACTTTTTTAAGTATTATGTATGTATTGTATATGCGATTATTGTTGATCCAATTGAAATTTGTTTTCTTTCGTATTCGCAGGTCATACCATCCCATCCGTTGCCGGCTCACATCCAGATCCCGTCACAGTACAGCCAATTTGGACCATTGAGTCCCGCCCAGGTAGCTGCTAGCAAGCATGCAGCGCACTTTGCGCCCACCAACATATGGTATGGAGCTGAGTAGAGAGCTTGCGGGGTGAACGAGGGTTGACGAGGATCCCGGATCCCAGAGGCCACCACTGACAAGAACACAGCAACAACTACAACACAGTCTCTCCCATCCCCAACAAAAAATAACCATCATCACCACTCTCCACACAGCCTAGAACTTGATAACATGATTGATTGATTGATTGATGCTCGAGTGAGTCGAATATGCCAGATTTATGGCCATACAAAGTGGCCCATTTGAACTGGTTTTATATGCTAGCTAACAAAAAAAAACGGTTTAACTAATCATACACTCTTTATTATTGCGCTCATCTAGATCTTTTATGGCCTCGGCTGATGGCGACGACGACGACGACGAAGACAACAGCAGCTGCAACGGCAACGGCAACGGCAACACGGAGGAGCAGCAGTTGCAGCAGCTGCAGCTGACACAATGCTGGTGGTTTATGCTGCTCATGCAACAGAGCATCATACAGCACAACAGCAGCATGTTGCACGAAACAACAGCTGCAACAGCAACAACCACAACAACAACAACAACAACAACAACAACAACAACTACAACCACAACAACAACTAATGCAAATGTTGCACGCAGCAGTCGCCGCAAACGTTAAAAAAAAAAGAAAGAAACACCTGTCCGCACCAAACCCGCCCACCAGTTACAGTTGTTTTTTTTTTTTTTGCTTTTTTTTTTTAATTTCGCCAACATCTGAAGATTGTCGATTGTTCTATAATTCCATTGCGAATTATGATTAAATAATTAATTTTTTTTTTTTTCTGTTTTAAATAAAAATGTCAAGCATTTTCTACACGCAGTTTGGAGTGTAAAGTGCATAGTTTAAACACACACACATGTAATTAACACACACCCACACACACACACACATACAGACTTTGCAACTGTAAAGAAAAACAAAGCGTAAACAAAATTGTTTGCCACCTTTTCTCTAAAAAAAAAAAACAAAAACTAAAGCGTTTCACTATGTGTGTTGTATATTTTTTATTAGAACTTCTAAGTAATACACTGCATATGTATATGTATATGTGCATATACATATGCCTAAGTACATAACTACGATAAATATGTATTCTATATATTATGATACGTCTAAGAAACACATGCATACATATATATGTAAAACTACAACTAAAACTAAACCCTAAACTAAATCTTAATATTATAAATACTATTACACAAAGCACACACACACAAGCATGAAACTAATGCAACATTATCAAATTTAATGCAAAATTAATGTTTCTGTACGTTCAGAAAAGAACAACAGCAACAAAAATACTTAGTGCAAAAGGCATAGTAACATTTTTTAGACTCTTTTTAGCAAGTACCTCAAAATATTTAAGTAAAAATGCAACAACAACACGAAGCAGCAGCAGCAGCAACAACAACAACAACAAATGCAACAAAACAAATATTGATGCGAAAATTGCCTTTTACAACAAACAAACAAACAAACAAACGAATAAACAAAGTAATAACAAAATATTGTAAACAAAACAAAAAAAACTTTAGTGAGATAATCATAAAACTACAAAATGATATATGATACCGCAAAAACCTTACTAGCAATCAAAGCATACATATATATATATATATATATATATATATATATATATATAAATATATAAAACAATATTGTAGGTAAACCTAGCGATAACCGAAATAACTGATAACTGAACATGCGATATATTATAGCTAATATAAACATAGACATACGGTTTTTTTTTTATATTATTATTATTATTATTATTATGTTTTTAACCAACACTCACACACATAAAACACACACACTCTCATAGAACTTAAAACTTAAGCCGAACCACAAATAGATATACGTATAGCTGGGGCTTTGTACAAAAACAAAAAAAAACAACATAACAAATATAACAAATTAGATGCATTGTATTTAGCAATAACTTGAAATATATAAATAATGGATTTTAAAATCAGATCAGGTAACCACCGGTCAGTGTTGGAAAACACCAAGCGAATTATATATTTGCAAAAGCTTACCCTTGAAAAAACCACACACAAAACTCTGCTCTTTTAATTTGTGTAGCCCTCTTTTAATATTTAAACCTTGTTTCTAAAAAGTCTACTCTTGTTTTTTGCGTGCTTTGATCGAGAACTAAAACCCAACTTATAAGAATGTTTACTAAAGTACAAAACGGCAAGCAATCTAGCTATAATTGTACACTGATAATTCGTCTTTTAAATATGTTTTTCTAATTTCTAATTTAGTTTTATTCGTATTTGTATACTTATTATCTTTAAACTTAAACTCACTTTTAATATGTTTAACGCAGAGATTTGGTTTCTTGTCTTTAGTGTATATAAAAATGAACCCTTTTTTGTTTTTGGATTCTTTCAAAAGTACGATATGCTATATATATACTCTTATATATATTATGATACTATCTACCTATGCGCATATATATATATATAAAGTTCTCGTTAATTAGGTTTCTTACAAGTATTTTGTAGTTAGTCGTAACTTTGTCGCTATTTGTATACTCTTTTTTTTTAACAACTAAGTTTTTTAGAACTGTGGCCACTTCCTATTATGATACTAAAAGAATATGTATATATATATATATAAATATATATATATATATATGTCAACCCCAGAAATCCCAACACACATGTTTCAATGTAGCCAGTTTTCAATGGTTTACAGCGAATCGCGTTTTATTATTAAACATTAATTAAATTGTAATTATCGAAATTATGATTATACGCATGAATATATATATATCTATATATGAGAATTAATCAGCTGTGCACGAAATAATTGTAACGAAACAACAACAAATTTAATTATACATACATATATATTTATATATATATTGCAACAACAAATGCAAACACAGATCTATTTGAAAGTCTAGCATATAATTATTGTGATGTAGTTTTTAAAATCGATGCAAATACAAATTGATAAACCACAACAACAAAAAGCGTGTCGTCGGAATTTTTGTCCTTGTCGTAATTAGCCAGTAACGAAATTAACAAAAACAAATTACAAATTACAAATTACTAATTAATTGATTATGCATAATCCATACGGGCATATATATATATATATTATGAATATAAAATAATACAAATTAATGTTAACTATTTAGTAAAACAAAAAACAAATGACTAAGCGAAAAGGCAACAATATAAAAAATATATATAATTTTTATTCTGTACTTTTTTAATTTTAACTCCATTTGTCGACAAAAAATATCAAAATATTTGTGTAGGAAACGAATGAAACGTTTGATTAGCAGCTAGTAGGCGTTAAATAAGAGAACGTTAGTGTTGTGACTATATACGATAAATCGTGCATACATATATACGCAATAATGATCCGATAACTAAGGGATCTAGCTGATAGTTGATGCGCCGATATTTGGCATAATTATATACATATATATATATATCTCTCTATATACTATTTTGTGTATGAAAAACAACAACAAGAACAGCAGCAAGAAATGTTAGTTAGTTGTTTGGCAACTGAATAACGAGTCAAAAGCAGCTGCCGCATGTGGCATGCCACGTGTTGGCCAGCTTTTGTTTTATTTCTTGTGTTTTTCTTTTATTTTGAATAGCTTGTGTTGTTGGTTTTCTTGGAAAATGCGCGAGATCAAAGCGTTTAATTTAGCTTAACGGCATTATAGGTGTGTTTTTATAGAAATTTTATGGACCATTAATAAAAACAACAACAACAACAATATTTGCGATTAACAAAGTAATTGAAAGTCTTAAATCTAAGCGTTTGATGTAAAAGCAATTGATGCTTGCAACTTTGTCGTTTATTTAATTGTTTTGACTCTTTTTCCTTTTCTTCTCAATATATGCATAAACATAAAGTATACACTATTATTAATTAACAAATATATATCGTAACTGATAAAGATAATAAACTTTTCAATTTCTACTCAATGTTTTTTAGAGAAAAGCAACAAGCTAAAAATCAAGAACGCTTTAAATGTAACAAAAACGAAACGTTAATAGACTTAAAAAGTGAAAATAAATATTAAATCTAACTAAAATTTATGAATAACACTCACTAAATGCAAAAATACACAGACATAGACATACATATACATATAGATATATGTATATGTATATGCATATATCGTTTGTATTTAAGCGCAGAGAGTACATTTTAAAATTAACAATGTTTTAACTGTGTAGCCTTAAAATCAACTTACAAATCAACTTTAAATACTATACGTATGTACTATATATATATATATATATATATATATATATACACATGAATATATATCTATACTTAAAATATGATGACATGCGAATCGATTTCGATGTTTAACTACGTACAATATTTCTATGTACTTCAAAATATGTCTAAATATATAGTTGATTTGCCTTTTATTTTGAATAATTTTCTTTAAAAAATTTTACTTTTTCAATTGTATTTTAATCACACACAAACACACACACACACACGCATAACTTTTTATATTGTATACCATATATAAACATAGCCACAACCCCACAACTTACTATTATCATAAATGATTATAATATTTACACTTATTTCCTAAATGCAAAAACATAAATACATGCATATATTATTATCGAAAGCATATTTTTTTTTGTTTACGTTTTATTTATTTATCGCATTTGTTTTTGATTTTATTGATTTTCTTAGCAACTAGTTAAAATGAGATTGAAAATCAACAAGCTAATCAAAAGTTTAAACAAAATCAAGTAGAACAAAAACAACAACAACAACAAATACAACATATATCCCACCAAATTAATTTTAACAATTTAAATAGCTATATAAAACGAACAAAGGGACAATTTTGAACTATTTAACTTAATAATATCGAAAATTGTGCAATATGATATATGACAATTAGCATTTGCTTTAGTTTATGTTTAGCTCGTTCAGTTATTGGATGGAGATTGTTCGACCGATCGAGGCTATAGCTGCAGCTATATATAGTATATACATATATATAGAAGAAACACTTAAGTTTAGTTCACAAATCGAATCAGGTTTCTGTAGTTGCCAATAGATTGTTAATTATTTCCAATACACTCACACTCACACACACACACACACATACACTCATATGTCACATACATATGTGTATGTATGTGTAGCTAAGTTGTTTGACCAATTCAAGAGACGAACAATTGATGAGCTTTTATAAATAATTTGTCGCTTTGGAATGTGTTTCATACGCAAGTTATGTGCATTTATCAACTAAAGCAAACGAATAACCGCAACAAATACCAATAATAATTTATTAAGTCTAGTAAATGCCACATTCAAGTACGTCTAGTTAGTGTTTAAGACACACACACACACACACACACACACACACACACACATTGAGAAAATTAGATACCAAGTAACCGAACCATACGAACAACATTTGATGGATCTATGAAAAAATTTGGTCGTATTGAAATATTGATATTGCATATGGATCGAAAACGTTTTTTATAAACATTTGACGCTGACAAACAAGATTGATAAGAACCCGTCCATAATTAGATTTTGTTCTTTAACAAAAAAACAAATAGTAGAAGAAGAAGAAGAAGATAGCCAGCAAATCAACATATAGACGTATGCGCATCGGCTCTATATAGCTATAGATATAGTTGTCGGCGCTCGAAACTCGTCTTAGATTAACAGTTAGCTCTTAAAGCTCTCAACGTGTTTTCTTTCAACTCGAATTATAATAATGATATTTGTATAGAAACTTGGCAATTTCCATTCAAAACTCTAGCAAAATAAAAGAATACACACTTGAAATTGTGGTTCGGATTGATATTAGATGTTTTTAATAATGAAAAAAAAAAAAAAAAAATAAAACATAAAAACTAATTACGATATATTTACATACACAATGCAAAGAAAGAAAAAAATACAAACACATATTAAAACTAAACAACAACAACAAAAAAATTACAAATATATACACTATATTTTATTAAATACAAAATATTTCGAATGGATAAAACATAACCAAAAGAAAACAAAAATGTTGATGTGTGAAATTTATAAGACTAGCATATTTCCTACCTAACAAAATTAACAAAACAATATACGTTATGAGATAGATATATATATATTATATATATACAGATTAACTAAAATTAACTAGCAGCTAGTGCTGAAGTCGTACGCATTCTCACGATTCTAAC